CTGTCGACTCCTACGTAAAGTAAATCCCAGGAAAATGTTTTCACTTGATTGATCCAACAAAAAAGAAGGGAAACTTCAAGATTAGGCATAATAAGTCATTTGTTTGTTCCAACATTAGCACGTAATCTACACAGTGGTTTCTCTTGCTAATAGAAAAAATTCAGGTCCTGATGAGCCTTGTTTGGTTGTGAAAGCCTGATCTAAAGACTTGGTCCTGGCTTTCTTAATTCTTTTAGCCTAATTGAAAACCCCAACCAAGTTCTTTTCTCTTAGTTTTTATTTTACATGTTTGAACCAAATGTAAAGCACATTTAGCCTCAAATGAAGTTCATTGTGACCTCAGACAATGGGAGGCAGCCACATGTGGGAGTGCTAGAAATAAACCTTGTGTCTTCTGATGGGAAACATTATGTGTCTAAAAAGAAAAAGGAACTTGTCTGTCCAGTGGGATCTTTGCTGACTTTTTGTACTCTGACCCCATGTTTAAAAAAATATGCAGGACTTTAATTCTTTTTGAGTTCATTTTCAAACTAATACCTTTTTCTCACCAAGCCTTTTTTTACTGTTTCTATAAATATATGTGCTGCAGTGTTCCTATTGTGTTTGGTTTTCTTTTAGCCAGCTGTTCGGGTTAAATTGGGTCACATAACACAACACTCTTTTAAGTTCAATCCCAAATCTTTAGGTACCTTTTATATGTTACTATTTTAGTACTTTTAACAATGCCATCTTTGCATGAATGAAAATGCATAGTGCTCATTTAAATCTTTCTCTGATGTTTCATAATAACCTTTTAGTATCTTTCATATCAAGTCAGAACATTTGTAAGCCATCAGTATGTTAGGACATTCCTGACCTCCTTTGGTCAGCAAATGATAGGCAATCAGCCTTTTCTTTCAAGTTTGATTGGTTGTCTGCATGATCTTTCTGGCCTTTGGTAGATTTGACAGTCCTCTGCATTCTCTCCTCCTCCCACGAATACACATGAAATCAATTTTTTGACAGTTGCCTCCATTGCAACTTTATATCCGAGTTGCAGGAATTGAGTTTACTTCCCTTCTGAGAGACCTATGCAAGTTATGTCATGATACTGGTATCAGCAGTCTTGGGTGGGTGAAGGAAGAATGTGGAAGTAATATAAGCATTAGGTAAAGGATTTACACTTTCCTCCTTTGAGGCAGCAGGCTAAGGTACTACTCAGACTTGGGTCAGTGTGTGAGAGTCAAGACCAGAGATAACTTGCTGCATACCCATGTGGAATAAGGATATGGGGTTGTCATCCCCACTGCTATAGAATATATTCCATATTTAATTTTGCATTGGTGTGAAAAGTAACAAATTGCTACTTGGGTCAGAGAGTCTGAGAAAGGAAGGTAAACATTACTAAAGTTGTTGTCATGGCCTTTTTATAAGAAGTGTAGACGTTGAGTGCAAAGGGGACCTAGATAAGATGATCAGGGCTCTAAGAGTTTGTCCCCAGCTTGACTTCTGTCAAATTGTCTCTGACAAGGATGTTTTTTCCTTCCCATTGTGAACATTCCATCCTCAAGACACTGAATGCTTTCATCGTTGCCTACTTTTGAAGAGGAAGTTGTTGGACTTGTGCCCAGTTTGGCTGCAAGTGGGGTGGGAGGAGATGCAGGAAGGCAAGAAAGTGCACTTTAACCTGGCAGTGTTTGCTTTACATGTGTTGTGTCATGATAAGGATAAGGGTGTCAGTAAAAACATTATTGCTCTCTAGCTACCTTTCTTATTGGGAGGTAAATTTTTAAAAGGAGAAGTAATAGTACAAGTATAAAGCAATTTATTCATATATTAGTCTGCCAGAATATAATTTGACAATTCTGCTCCCAACCTTATGTTGTTAGAACTAGAAAAGAGGCATAAAGAAATTGAGTTTTTCTTTGGAAGGAGTTTTAGAAATTATTTAATAAAACTCTTCTCTTTTATCTGATTATTACACATGCTTACGCACTCATATACTCCTTTCTCCCCCATCTCTCTCTTTCTCTCCTTTCTCTCTTTGTCTTTCATTAAGTCCTGCAGAGGCTTTCTCAGTGTTTTTAGGAGGATGACAGAAGCCCTCACCGGGCCTACAGGGCCATGCCTTTCCAACACTTTCTGTGTCTTCTACTCACCTTGCTCTTGTGTTTCTCTTTGCACTGTTCTCCACCCCTGCCGTCCTTCCTCCTCATGGAGGTCTTTCTTGACTTCTGCCATGTTCTTCTAGCACTTCTCCCTCCTCTCTCCTTTCTCTCTTTGTCTTTCATTAAGTCCTGCAGAGGCTTTCTCAGTGTTTTTAGGAGGATGACAGAAGTCCTCACCGGGCCTACAGGGCCATGCCTTTCCAACACTTTCTGTGTCTTCTACTCACCTTGCTCTTGTGTTTCTCTTGGCACTGTTCTCCACCCCTGCTGTCCTTCCTCCTCATGGAGGTCTTTCTTGACTTCTGCCATGTTCTTCTAGCACTTCTCCCTCACACAGAGGTTACATGCACTTTGTGCATCTGTTCTTTGTAAGGTCAGTGAGAGTAGAGACTGCTGCTTTTTTTGCTTATTTCTGTATCACCAGCATCTAATACAATGCTCCGTACATAACTGCCACCCAAATATGTATTGAACTCATAAATTTCATTCATTGCATTTCTGTGGGCTTTTTTTGCTTATTTCTGTATCACCAGCATCTAATACAATGCTCGGTACATAACTGCCACCCAAATATGTATTGAACTCATAAATTTCATTCATTGCATTTCTGTGGTTACCTGACCTTTATTTGAACCTTCCAAAGTATCTCATTCCATTTTGGAGTTGCTCTTTTCATAATAATGTATTTAGAAAAGTGGAGAAATTATTTGCAACCAAAATGAGAAAAAGATAATATTAATGTATACAGAGCTTATATAAATCACTAAGGAAGATGTTTAAAATCCAAATAAATAGGCAGAGAATGTATATAGCTAATTCACAAACAAAATTCTTCTTAAAATGGTTGAAGAATATCTGAGAAAATTTTTATGTTTATTGGGGATTAAAAAGTACAAATAAAGCAAAATGCCACCTATCAATTTAGTAAAAATTATTTTAATTGATGATCCACTTTTCAGCATGTATTTATAGTCACTCTTATGTCTACCTAGTAAGTATCAATTCTCATCTTTTTGACAGACTATAAGCCCTTTCTACATTTTCATTCACCTCTTTTCAGTTAAAGTTGCTGTCTCCAAGGAGTTTATAATCCATCTAGGGAGGGAAGATTTCAACCTAAGAAATGAGAAATCAGCAAGTGGACACATTGGTGCCCTGCTTTAACTCTTAATGTAAGACATTAGCCTCCCTACCCACTTCATTTACACAAGAGAGCAGCCTGTTACATAGTCAGTGACTCTGGAGACTGTGTAGATTAGAAAGATGGTTTTAGAGCCACACAAACCTAGTTTTAAGCTTTGTATCTTACACTTAGTTAAGTGTGTTACTTTTAGGAAGTTACTTATATTCCTCTTTTGTAAAATTGGGAACTTACCTTATAGGGATTTTGTTATTAAATTTGTTTATTGATTTAAAAATATTTATTGAGCACCTACTTTGTGCCAGGTACATTGTCAGGCACTAAGGGTACACAGTGAATAAAACATCCCTGCCTGATGGGACTTACATACTAATGGAATAGACAGACAAGTACATGTACAAGATACTGGATAGTGTTGAGGACTATACAGGAAAATAAAGTAGGGGAGCAATAGTGAGTATTGTGTCAGGGTTAGTGTTGTAATTTTAAATAGGACGATCCAAGAAGTTCTCACTGAGACTGTGACATTTCAGCAAAGACTTCAAAGAGGTGAGAGAGTAAGCCGCGTAGATACCTTGGGGAAGAATGTTCCAGGTGGAGAAAACACGTGAGAAGGATTGAGGGAGTGTTGTGCCTATTGTGTTTGAGGAACAACAAGGAGGCCAGTGTAGTAGGAACAAAGTAAGCAAAGGGAAGGGTAGCAGGAGAGATGAAGGGGGACCAGATTGAAGAAACGGCTTTCAATATAAGGTGGGAAGCCATTGCACACGAATTGTGATCAGGGGTGAGGTGAGTACGTTTTAAATGGATCATGTTGCTGTTGTATTTAGAGCAGACTGATGTGGAAGCAGGAAGACCAGTTAGGAAAATGTTGAATAACTGAGGTAAGAGTTGATGGTGACTTGGACTAGGGTTCTGGCAGAGAAAGGGGTAGGAGTGGGGAAGACACTCTGGATACATTTTTAAAGTAGATAAATTAAACGTTGCCATGAGAGAAAGAGAAGGATCAAAAGATGACCTTAAGGGGCCGGCCCGGTGGCGCACTGCTACAGTGTGCCGCTTGGGAGCGTGGCGGCGCTCCCGCCGAGGGTTTGGATCCCACATACAGACCAGCCGCTCACTGGCTGAGCGAGGTGCGGGAGCAACACCGAGGGTTGCGATCCCGTTGACGGTCCCGGTCCGGTACGGGCAGGACACTGAGGGTTGCGATCCGTTGCCGGTCACGAAAAAAGACAAAAAGGAAAAAAAAAAAAAAAAGATGACCTTAAGGTTTTGGGCTTGCACAACTGGAAGGGTGACCATAATCAGGATAATGTATAAAGTGCTTAGCCTGGTACCTGACTCCTATTATGTGTTCTATAAAGGGTGGTTCCCATCCCCAAAATTTAGAGTAAAAATGAAGGACTTCTCTTTTATCCATGTGCTTCTGTCCACCTATACAAGCAAATAGAATGTTTCACCAGAATAACAAGATAACAAATTATAAATTTAGCTGGCACATTGGAATTCTGGTAAATCACCCCTTCTGTTGGTCAAAGACTTACTCCCTAACAGAAGATAGAACTTGTATTTTTCCTTATGACAATAATGCAGTAATAGTAAGTGTGTCGATGATAATAAACTTTTTAAAAATATCAAAGGAAAAACTTACCAAATGTAATGTTTCATTTTAAGAAAAATATGCCTCTTTATGCCCATTTTTTCCCTTTCAGGATGCTGCCTTATGGTTGTTTAGCAACAGGAGATCGCTCTGGCCTCATTGAAGTTGTGAGCACCTCTGAAACAATTGCTGACATTCAGCTGAACAGTAGCAATGTGGCTGCTGCAGCAGCCTTCAACAAAGATGCCCTTCTGAACTGGCTTAAAGAATACAATTCTGGGTTAGTTTATGTTGTTTAATGATCATCTTTCTGTACAAACTACCAAACAAATAACTATTCTCCTAGTAGATATCATCAGTGTCTTGAAGAAAATATTAGTGTTATTTACTGCTTCATTTCAGATTAGAATAAAATGATACATAGATCTTCATAAAGTAGTATATGTGGTTAATGTTGGATTCTACTTTATCTAGATCAAATTTTAAAGCCCTGCAGTAAAGTTATGATCTAAGAATTTAAATATTTTTAAGATAACATTGAAGTTTTGCTTAAGTGTATCAACGTCTATAATTATGTGAATATATGAACTTAAGTAAGTTTTTAGTAGATTGATTTTGCAATAGAAATAAATGAGTTTGTAGACCATGAGCTCTCCAAACTAAAAAATACAGTGTTTGGAATTGTGTTAGTTATGATGCTAGAAAAGCACTAATATGTAGAAAATAAAGGAATTTCACAGTTAGGGGAAAATGTTTTGCAAGTATTTTTGGCTAAAGACTTCAAAGTCAGACTCAGATTTTATCATTGGTAAGATCCAAAGACTTGTATGTGAGAATCGGTTTCCAAATTTTGATCTTAAGGCCTTGTTTCCAAAGGGCCCATATTACTCAATTCTCATTGAAGTCAGTGACTTATATGGTTGGAACTTCAAAACTTAATATAGAATTCTAGTCTTAAGTCAAAACTGACAAAGATACTCCATCAATTATTGTGGGTCAATTAAGAAAAAAAATTCAGAGACAGAAGTAGATTAGAGGTTACCAGAAATGCGGGGGAAGGAATAATGAGAAGTGATTGCTTAACAGGTACAGAGTTTTTGTTTAAGACAACAAAAAAAGTTTTGGAAATAGAAATAATGGTTGCACAGCATTGTGAGTGTAATTAATTCCCTGTAATTGTATGTTTAAAAATGCTTGTAATGGCAATCTTTTTGTTATATATGATTTACCACGATAAAAAAGAAAGAATGAAAGAAAAACTGACGGAAATGTTTCCAAGCTCCAGCATAAGCCAGAAAAGTCCATGCTCTCCTGTCATTATTAAGCACATGAGTTACCTCCATCACCACTGAAACACAGCCAGGACCAAGGAATTGGACTGGGCAAGGCCCAGCTTTCTAATGTCTTTGAAGGCAGCCTGACTCTTCTCTGCCCTGATCCTGTGATCACCATCCTCACTTCCCTTGGCTGATCCAGCATGTTCTGCTCATATGCTTTTGGCAGCTCTGTGTTGCAGTTCCTCTCACAATTAAAAGGAAACAGGTGTGGTTTGGGTCTCACCCCATGCATTTGGAGACTGGAAGCTTTGTTGCTTATTTTTTTATTTCTTGTTCAGGGATGACCTGGATCGAGCCATTGAGGAGTTTACCCTGTCTTGTGCCGGCTACTGTGTAGCTTCTTATGTCCTTGGGATTGGTGACAGACATAGTGACAACATCATGGTAAAAAAAACTGGCCAGGTAAGCTGTCCCCTGGGATCCGCCAAGGGCCTCAGTGATGCTGTTACTTACGTACAGCATAATAATTTGTGAAACTCAGGCAGATTTTTTAGTGATTCTTACAGACATGTCTTTGTCTTTCCTTCAACTTCTCACCAGCCCTCTCTTCATATACTGTCTGCTTTATGTATTCACTTGTATGCTAAATGTTAGATGGCAAGCTCGGATTTATTTATTTAAATGTTTAAGAAATTATTATGGTTATTTAAAAGTGGCCTTATTCTTTTAATATAAGCAATTGTATTGGGGATACATGTGTACCTAACAGATGGAGCAGTGGATGTGCTGGATGTATTAACTTTAAAAAAGATAACCAGTGATAAAAAAAAGTTGGTGTGAACCCTACTTGAGCCATTATCTCTTTTAGAACATCAAACCTAATCATATGTGGGAGCAGGGAGAAAAGTAGTGTGAGTAATATCATTTTGGGGGAGTTAGGGAAGCTGTGCCAGGTTATTTATGAAGAAGCATTTAGTTTTTAATTGCAAATTTTCTCATTTTTTAGCGTGACTTGTTTGTAAAATTTTTTATATTAAGCAGACAGATGAGATAGCTTGGATAATTTTTCAGTTTTGCCACCAGGGGTATGTCAGTCTCAGAAAAGGGCTAGAATCAGAGGCTCCAGGTATTGCTATGGAAGAGGCTAAAAATGGGATTGGTTGGCAATTTATATATGGAATAGTTAGGTGCTCAAGTCCCCTTCCCTACCCCAGGAAGGAGATAGAAGATTTATACTCTGAAGAAACCAAGTTCTCCTGACTGTAGAACGCAGGTTCTGCAGAGGCTGAGGGAAAGGTGCTATATTTTTTTGTTTGTTTTTGGTTTTTTGATGGCTGGCTGATAGAGGGATCAAACCCAGGACCTTGGTGTGATAAGCACCATGTTCTAACCACCTGAGCTAATCAGCCAGCCCTAGGTGCCATATTAAAAATGGGGATGAAATGAAAGTTGACATACTAAATGGTATGATCCACAGCCACTTCTGCTTGCCTTGCTCCAAGAATACTGACAGCCAGGTATATATCCCTGCCCTTAGCAAAAGACTAGATGATTCTTGTCAAGAGAATCTGATTGGCTCTAGTGAAAAGACCTATAGAACCTGAAAGTTGAGATCTCTCTCCAGTCTCTGCAAGGGAGCCCACCAAGCAACAAGTAAGCCTACTGTGTACATAGAGTTGCTTTTTTAGTGACTCATTCTTAAATATGAATGGTCAGGAATGATTAGCAGACTTTTTAAAATTGACAAATAATTATATATATTTATTGTGTATAACATTGCTTTGAAAGATGTATATATTGTGGAATGGCTAAGTCAAACTAACGTATGCATTTACCTCGCATACTTACTATTTTTTTGTGGTGAGAACACTCAAAGTCTATTCTCTTAGCAATTTTTAGGAATACAATTCATTGTTATTAAATGTAATCACTGTGTTGTACAACATATTTCTTGAACTTAATTCCTCCTGTCTAATTGAAATTTTGTATTCTTTGACCAACATCCTCTGCAAACCCCTATCCTCACCCCAGCTCCTGGAAACCACCATTCTACTCTCTTCTGAATTAGCAGACATTTGAGGGAAGCCTCCACCATGAAAGAGACCAAACAAACAAAATTGGGGGAAAAAGAACTCTGGGAAAACAGAATAACTACAGTAAACAGAGAATGATTTACAAATTTAAAAAAAAAGAAAAAGAAAAGAAGAGGGCATTGTATCTATAAAGTAATAATAGAATTCTGTTTTTTTAAATCAGAAAAGAGAAGTCTGGGAAATTAGAAAAAGGAACAAACAAAAAGTTAAAATAGAAATAGAAAACTCAAGAGTGAACATCTTGTGGCAGGCACAGTTCTGAGTGTTTTATGTGTGTTAATGCTTTCCGTCATCCTGATGAGCTCACAGAGTAAGAGGTAGTATCACCTTCATTTTACAGGTGAGAAACTGAGGCAACAGAGAGTGGACATTCCAGGATTAAATCCTGGCAATATGACTCATATTCCTTTTTTTCTTAACTGTAATGCCTTAATATCTTTAAAAATACATACGAGAGATACAAAAAGGTCCAGAAATGGTAGAGACTTGGTCCAGGGAGGCACACCATCAACACAATAGGAATTCAAGAAGGAAGTCAGAGAAGAGGAAGGGAAGGCACTTAGTGAGCAAATAGTAAAAAATATTTCCCAGAGTTGATGTTCATGAATATCCAGTCAAAAGAGCACAGAAGTTTCCTTATAATGGATGAAAAAGACCCTTACTAAGGCCCTTCACCACGAAATTTCAGTGCATTGGACAATAAAGAGAAGGTCTTAAAACCTTCGCAGATACACGGCAGGCCACGTACCAGAGTTCAGGAGTCAGAATGACTTGGCTTCTCAATAGTTCAGTATTTACAATGGAAACTATAAAACAGTGAAAGTAAACCTTCCTAATTTTGAGGAAAAATGATTTCTAACCTAGAATTCTATAACCAAACTATCAATCAAGTATGAAGGTAGAATAAAGACATTTTCAAACATGCAGGATCTCAAAAACTATACCTCCTCTGTGTCTTTTCTCAGGAATCTACCAGAATAAAGACATCCACCAAAACAAGGTGTCTAAACCAGTGGGTCTCAACTGGGATGATTTTTCCCTCAGGGGATATTTATGAATGTGTGAAGACATTTTTAGTTGTCTTAATGGGAAAGGGGGGAGTTGAGGAAATCAGCTGACATCCAATGGGTAAAAGCCAGGGATGCATATGGTGTTCATACAGTATACAGGACAGAACTCTGTAACAAAATTATATGGCCAAAGTGTCAGTAGTGCCAATGTTGAGAAACCTTGATCTAAACCAAAAGAATGTAATGAGAGGCTCCATATGGGAGAGAGAGAAAGGAAAATCCAGGATGACGGCTCTGTGGCAGGACTAGAGGACAACCAGCCCATACGGAAACTAATAGATTACTTAACCGTCTGGAAAACAGTTTTGAAAATGATTTCTAGGTTTTTAAGGAAAGTTTGGAAGAATTGATAGGGTCATAGAAATTGAGCTAGATAAATAAAAGCAGTTTTCTCAAAGAAAAATGATGAACAAAAAAGGAAATACAGTCATTATACCACTACCACATGGCTTAGCTTTGAAATGTATTTATATAATCTGAACAGTATAAACACTGAATATTGACTTACCCAGAAATTATGTGATAATATGCTGCATTGTGTAGCATTATGTTAGCACAAGAGTACTAAATTCTTACCTTCAGAAATAAGAATAGTAATCTAAAATGAGGAAGTAAAAAATAAGTCTAAACACGTTATTTAGAAAAACGGAGACAGATACCAGGAAAAAACACATGAAAGAGTGGGGGAGGTTTCCTCTAAGCGGGAGCCATCAAGGTGAGGGAACTAGTAGGGTAATGATGTACTCATTTTTTGGTTATTTTTTGTAGAACTATTTGACTTTTTAAAAATCAGCCATGTTTACTATTTGGACTTTTTTTTTTTCCTAAAAGATTCTCCTTTACCAGTGTGTATATGTAATTTAATATCAAGGTTATTATTAAGTGTAAAAGACCTAAGAGTGTTGGAAATACTCTCTTCCCAACTGGCCCAGTGGCTATTAACAGAAAGAGAAGGGCACAGATGAGGGTGGGTGTGGCACCTGGGGGGGTACAGCAGAGATCTTGCTAGTTGGAGATCTTTCTGTTTGGAACCCACTAGACAAATGAGAAAAAATAAATCCCATTTGTTTTCCAGCTCTTCCACATTGACTTTGGACATATTCTTGGAAATTTTAAATCTAAATTTGGCATTAAAAGGGAGCGAGTGCCTTTTATTCTTACCTATGATTTCATTCATGTCATTCAACAAGGAAAAACAGGAAACACAGAAAAGTTTGGCCGGTGAGTATTGCCCTCATGTCAAAGCTAACACATCCAATGCTTTCTTATCTGACCAGCTAGACTGGCATTTCCTAGTTGAGGTATATTTGGATCTGGGAGATATTTAACCTGATAACAGGAGGCTTTTGGGGGAATTTGCCTGTCAGATCTTTTTGCTGATTCAGAAATACTCAGGAAGGAGAAACAGAAAATGCTAGAGATGTTGCTGTGTTTTATTCCAATAATATACCACCTTTTACTTGAGAATAATCTCTGAAACTATTAAGATATTTATTAGTAAGATACTGAGAGGACAGGCATTTTGCTGTCATACTGTGTGGAGTACAGTGAGGGAGCCATGATTTAGGGACAGACTTTGTAATTTGTGATCTATTTCTCACTACTTGTTCTGTTCCCAAGCACATTACTTGTCTTCTTGCCTTTGTTTCATCTTAAAATGGGGACAAAAATAATTAAATTTCAGGGCAATCATGATGATTAGAGATGTGTTAGATCACGTCACCAGCATATACTGTATGTTTAACAAATGATGCTATTATCATTTCTAGTTCTGCTTAGGTTGCTGAAGGATATACCTCTCTGAGTTCAGTTTTCTCTTTGGCAAAGTAAGGGGTATAGGGTTGGATGGTTCTCTTAAAGGACCATCTTGAAGAGGAGAGAGGAAAGGCAAGGTGACCAGGAGGAGCAATGCAAAAGCGTTGGCACTGATCTGGGAACACATTAAAGAAATTAGTCTCTGAAGTCAGACCACAAATCCAAAACCCAGAAGAAGTGCTCATGGATTATAATGACCACTTGTTTAATAATCAGGCTTGTGTCTGATAGAATTAAAAAGCATAGATTAAATATTATATTGCCTTTTGTCATGGAATTTCAATGTAATTTTGCTTTTGAAAAAGATATGTGTAGTTTTAGAGAGCCTGATTATTTTACGTACGTTTTAGTACTAGGACACTTTTCATAAAAGTAGAAATACAAATGAACCTTTAGTATAATAGAAATTTTCCATCTCTAATAGAAAATCTAGCTAGATTTGAAGTACCCTCATATGTGGGACACTTTTCATAAAAGTAGAAATACAAATGAACCTTTAATATAATAGAAATTTTCCATCTCTAATAGAAAATCTAGCTAGATTTGAAGTACCCTCATATGTCTTCTTGTTTTCCTTTATGAAATGTGATCTCCCCTCTAATGCCGTGCTCACGTGGTTTGCTCCATCAACTAAAGGTTCCGCCAGTGTTGTGAGGATGCATATCTGATTTTACGTCGTCACGGGAATCTCTTCATCACTCTCTTTGCATTGATGTTGACTGCAGGGCTTCCTGAGCTAACATCAGTCAAAGATATACAGTATCTTAAGGTAATAACCTCTTTTCCTTCTATGTTGGACTTGGTGGACATAGAGCTCATTTACAGCTGCCTATTTTATTCAGATGTTGGAGAGATTGGAACAAAATCATTTCTCCGAGATGGTTCTTAGCCAGGAGGAAAAGAATTGGGGAAGTTCTTATGAAAGAGCAATTTTGAAAAGGAAGCTATAACCCAGATGGTTTCCCTATCAGTAGAAGGGGCATAGAGAAGACTGGTGTTGGGCAACCACCCCCACCCTGCCACACTGGAAGACCATGGGTTAGCAGCTTGTTGGTACTTTGATTTTCAGCAACCTGTATTTTATTTGCCAGGGTCTTAGTGAGTCTTGAGTCATCTTACTCGATCAAGGTGGTAGTGGCAAGCAGCTGAGTGTCTTGCAGTAATTATAAATTCATTTCATTATCAGACCTACCTTGATGTTGATTCTCCCTCTTACAAGCAATATTTAAATATAAGAACATAAGGCACACTGCCTGATGTTTGCTGGGGAGGTACGGTCAAGCCAGCCTCTTCCAGATTTTGATATTAGTACATCTCTACCAAAGACATATAAAATTATACTTCTTCATTCCTTTTTAGGACTCTCTTGCCTTAGGAAAGAGTGAAGAAGAAGCACTCAAACAATTTAAGCAAAAATTTGATGAGGCGCTCAGGGAAAGCTGGACTACTAAAGTGAACTGGATGGCCCACACAGTTCGGAAAGACTACAGATCTTAATGATCAGCCTTTGCTCCTAATGTATTTGTTGGTTTCGTTTTGTTTTCATTTTGCACTTGCACTAAATTGAAGATGACCCTGCCAGAGATGTTATAAAGGGAATGAAATTCTGGAACTCAAGAGTTAAGAACAAGGCATCCTACAGAACCTGATCTGAACAATCCCTGATGACCACTCTCTGCTTTTTGAGTGCTTCCAAGACTCATGAAAACCATCAGCATTATGGATAATCATTTCCTGCTGACTTTGCACGCCAAGGAATGCTACTAGGGATTGTTTTCTGATTTTTTTTTTTTCTTAAAGCATTTGGTACTTTCCCCAAAAGGTGTAAATACTTCTTTTCAGTGTTGTGACCAAGTGTTATCACTCAGCCAACAACTTATCCACACTTGGGGGTTGGGGGCTGTTCTTATCTTCCATATTAGGTTTAAAAGAAAGGTGTCTTCCCTTTTAAAATTGTGTAAACTACAAATTATAATATAATTTGAACTTATGATTATTTCTCAAAAGAAATCTTTTAAATCTGTGGGAATGCATTAATTCTTTTGTTAATATTTATCTTCCATGATAGCATCATTCCAACCAGACTTGCTGAAAATCTACCGGTGAGGCAAATATAATATATTTAAAAATATGCTGCATATATATTTATAAAATTTCTAGGGAGAGTTCTATATAAAAAGATGTTTCTTCGGTATTCTTCAGCCTGTTTTAAAGTTTTACAGAAAGCAGACGCTTTTTCCTAAGTTACTTTTCAGTTAATTAACTGTATGATCCAGTTCTTCCAGCTGCTTCTCTAATGAGGCACATATTAATACAGTTTTTATATGGTATCTATGAAAGAGTTTACTTCATAGAGCATAATACTTGAGCAAATGTATCTAAGAAGGCAAGCAAATGAAAAGGAACCTATTTATGGAATAAACTCCAGACCTGAAATTCATTATTTTGTTAAAATGCCAGCTGTTCTTACTGTATTTATTAAAACTTATAATAATGTAATTTTTCAAGGATATTAGTTCAAATTATAATGGTTTCAAGCCACATGGAAATCTTTAATTTATTTGTTGAGGTACCATATATTTAGGGTGCTAGGTGGCAAATAATGTTAATATGTGCAATAGGAACTACTGGTCTGAATGTGTAGATGGATGCTTTGAGTACTGGCAACATCCAGCAAAACTACTGCTTATTCTCCAAAGAATATTGGGAGCTCTCAATCCTCAGTGATATTGGAAAGAGAACTGAGTATTTGCCCTGTGACTGAGTTTTCTATAGGAATTTTATTTAAGACTGTTTAATTTTGTTGTCCTTAATGTTCTCAGTCAAATAAATGGGTGAGCTGGTTTGGGCTGTTCTTGGGATGTGTGGGCCTCTTCTTTATGGACAGCACAGGGCTTTGGAACTTGGCACTGGGACACCAAGAAATGGCCAAGTCAGTAGACAAAGTACCCTCAAGAGTATGCTGAGGATCGTGGCCTCTTCCCTGACTTCTCTCCTTGCTTCCCAGTCCCATCAGGCACAATGTGGGAGGCCTCTTGGACTTAGTGGGAGCCTGAGGCAAAGGGGTGCCCTCATCAGGTTTTCCGTGCCTTTGAAAGTTGCCCTGAGGTCTTGGAGCATGCCTCTTTAGTTACAAGGCACTGGAGCCAAGGTCAGACTGCAGCCACTTTCATACCCTCTTCCATGGGGCAGACACTTAGAGCAGGCCAGTTTCTTGAAATAATTCAGCTGAGGATGGGGATTGGCTTTCTTTAAACTCCCCATTTCCAGGGCTTGTTTAGGCTCAGTAAGCATTCCAGGAATAGGACAGTAGAAGGACAGGTTTGTTCAGGGAACTTTGTTCAGTAGCAGGCCACCATTACACACATCAAGCCACAGGACAGTGGTTTGGAGAATGGTGAACATTGCCAAGAAGAAGGGAACACCACTGTTTCCAGAGGGGTCTCCTTATCTCAGAGGAGGGCCTTGATAAATATATGCCAGATCAGCAAATATGAATGTCTTCAAGAGCAAGAAAGGGAAATGAACATCCATGTGTGTCACAGACAGTGCTGGGCCTGAGCCCAGGATGGCTTTTGATCCCCTCTACCCCGCCTCTGGTATTGGCCCCTTCCCAAGATAGCCAGGACAGTGTGGTTCAGCAGCTGCTAAGCATTCCTAGCAAGTGCTCCCTACATACTTACTGAATTGGATATCTCTGACTCTCAGGGGTTCTGGCTGAGCCAGAGAGAAGGTAGGAGGCAGAAGGATAGCTGCCTTACAGGATGAGTTAGGGCTCTGGGCTGCAGGAACAGCTTCTTGCATAAGAATTGGCTACCCCGTACCTTGGTTATTGAGTGCTCTGGCCAAGAATGGATCTTTCCCCAAAACACTTTGCTCCCTGTCTTTGGTCCTCTTCCATGTTTCCTCAAAACAAGGTTTTGGAAACTGTACATTTCCATGCTTGAGGACAGCATCTGTGTCTACCTGGTATGGGGAGACAGGGGATGACTTTATTGAACAAGTAATTCTTAAGTGCTCATCTCCTGTCTATAGGCAGACCCTGGGCTCTAGGAGCCAATATTTGCAATCCATCTCTGCTACCCTTGTGTAAGGTATTTGTTTTATTTCTAAGGGTCTGAGCTTCCTAGTTTATGAAATGGGACTAATAATATCTGCCCCACTCACTTCTCTGGGGTGGGGGGAGGCTGGGTTAAAACTCGGGATAGAAACATGTGCTGAGTCCCAACTCATACAAACTCACTTCTTTCCCTGCTTCCCCCTCTCCAAGGCCACTAAGGGAAGGAACTTGGGGAAGGAAAGCCCCAACCGGAGCTCTGTCCTTGTCTCCTCTCTGCAGAGATTCCTCTAGTGCATTCTCAGTTCTGCCTTGTCCAGTCCATAGCCTGGTTAGCACCAGACCTCAGCCAGACAGCCTTTAATGTAGGGGTCATTTGTCTACAGAGGGTAAAATGGGTCCACAGGGTAGAGAACAGAGGGACCATGCCATCTCTGGTTATCTTGTATGTGCAGCTCTTAGAAAGGAGGGGGCAGGAGCTGTGTTTCTTGGAAAGGCCTCTGAGCGGAGTCTTCAAGGACAGATAGGAGCTAGGGAAAGGGTTGATGGGAAGAACAGACTAGGCAGAGAGTCCTGGAGGTGAGAAAAAGCAGGATTCATGGGCATTAACAGACTCAACAATTGTTTCTTTACACCTGCCCCACCCCCCCACCCCCTCTCTGTTTCAGAATGCTGCACCTCTTCTCAGGGATACATCATCCTGGAGCCTCTTCCTCCTTCAGTACCTGGCAGTTTTATCCCCTTTTCCAGTGATGAAAAACCTATTTGACATCACCTTCTGAGATATTCCTACTGTAAGATACATAACTAATGACTTTTCGGAACCTATGATTCCTTTTCACTTGTAACAACACCCAGATTCAGGAACTCAGAAAGTTTGGTCTTTCACACCCTGCCTGTCATCCTCTCTTCTACCTTTTTTTTTATTGTGAAAAAAAGCACATAGAGAAGAGTGCATAAACCACTAACGACATATAAATAACATTAACATCATAGAGCAAACACCAATGTGACCACTACACAGATCAATAAAGGACATTGCCAGTAACTCAGAAACCCTACGAGCTTTTCTCCCTTCTGTGGCAATCCTTTATTTTCTTGCTTTCTTTTTTAAAAATTTTTTAATTTTTAAAAATTTATTAATATTTTTTACATTCTAAGATGTTATTGCAGATCGGTTGAGGGGCAGGGGGAGAGGAGAAGGGGAAAGGAAATAGGGTGGGAAGAATAAAAGGGGGGGGGTTGGTTGAGGCCTGTGGCACCTCCCTCAATTCCAGCAGGGGAAACCAGGACACTAAAAATTTATTAATATTTTTTACATTCTAAGATGTTATTGCAGAGCGGTTGAGGGGCAGGGGGAGAGGAGAAGGGGAAAGGAAATAGGGTGGGAAGAATAAAAGGGGGGGGTTGGTTGAGGCCTGTGGCACCTCCCTCAATTCCAGCAGGGGAAACCAGGACACTTCCTGCAGTGGCTTGGTGGTCATTGCTGGGCTGGGTGCGGGAGTCATGGGGGTGTGGCCAAGCCCCTCTGCCCCCACTGTCCCAGTTTGGGGGCCAGGTGCTTCCTGCAGCAGCTTGGTGGTTGTCACTGGGCTGGTTGTGGGTGTTGGGGGCACACTGAGGCCCCCAGCCCTCCCCTCTCCCTGGCTTGGGGCCCAGGGGGCTTCCAGTCCTTCTAGGTGTTACAGATGTTCTTTGGTGATGTTAGACCTTTAGTGGTTAATATCAAACTTTGTCTCTGGTCTGTGGGTATTTTGTGTTTTCTTTCAGTTCTGTGCTGGATTATTTGCTGTTCCCACCACTTAAACTCTGCACTGGAACTAATTTGTTGTCCTTTGCTGACTTCTAAAGTGGGGGAACTTCCTGTGGGGACCAGCACTTGAATCCTATGGTTGAGCTAAATTGCTGCTTTGCTGCTGATTCCCTGGAGAAGGCTTTTGTGCATCTCAGGTTTTAATGGTTGACTTTATAGGTACTTCTGAATCTGGTGCACCTGGGATGTGTGGAAACTCTGGTCTGGGCCTGAGGCTTCTCAGCAGACTGCACCCCCCACAGTTCTGTATTCCTGACCAGTCTACACTGAGTGATCCTGCACTAATTGGGGGTGCAGATCATCTGTCCATGTTGTGCCCCAACGTCCCCTGGTGGGCCCGTCTCACCAGTGGGCCCACACTCCAAACACTTCCCATGGGACAGGCCTTGCGCCAGTCCCTTGCTATGACTCACCAGCCTCTGAGCGGCTCAATTTTTTCAGTTGTCTGTCACTCCTTGCTCCTATGTGGGTTCACAAAAATTCTGTTAGTGGTCTTGCTGGCCTCCTGGGAGCCACCAAGGCCCTCTTCTCCCCTACCACTTCCAAGCAACTTTATCCAAAGGGCACAGCTGCAGCTTTTGCCAGCTCTTGCTCCGTGAAGCCTTGAAGCGGCCAGGGTTGAAACAGAGCAATCCTTCCTCTCATCGTGGCTTCTCCTGTCTTCATGCACTCCATAGGTCTCTCCTCCGCTTCTCCTGACCTCTAGTGGCTCCAGCTTGGTTGTCATTGCTTTTTGATAGTTGTAAATTGGTTGATTTGTGGGAGAGAGTGATGCTGGGGACCGTCTATTCTACCATCTTGACCAGAAGCCTAAAGCCTCTATTTTCTTACTTTAGAGTTAGGCGGCCTACTCTTTGAGTTGGGCTTCTTTCTCTCAATATTATGTTTTAAGATTCAGCCAGGTAGTTGCAGGTAATGATAGTTTGTTGCTATTTGTGGAGTATTCCATTTTATGGATATCCCGCAATTTGTATGTCCTTTCTACTGGTGGGACACATACAGATTGTGTTTCTAGCTTGATGCTGTTACAAATAATGCTGCTATGATAATTATAGTTTATCTCCTTGTTACATATATACATGTTTCTTTGGATGTATATACTTAATATTAAAATCGATAGCTCATAGGATTATGCATCTTTATCTTGACTAGGTAATACTAAAGTAAGTGGTTAAACCAATTTATTCCTTTTCTAATAGTATGTGAGAATTCTTATTACTCCACATTCTCATCAATGTCCAATTAATCAACATTTTAAAAAATTTTAGAGGACTAACGGTTACCTCAGCTGGTTAGAGTGTGGTGCTAATAGCACCAAGGTCAAAGGTTAGGATCCCCGTAACAGCCAGCCACAAAAAATTAAATTAAAAAATAAAAAATTTTAGCCATTCTCGTGTGTGGAGTGAATTTATTTGCATTTTCCTGATTAGTAATAAGGTTAAGTTGTTTTTTCATATCTATCTGGGGGTATTTGAAATTTCTCCTTTGTGAAATGCCTGTTTAAATCCTTTGTCAGTTTCCTTATTGGGTTGTTTGTCATTTTGGTTTCTTGGAGTTTTTTTTTGTTATTTTGAGGAAAGTTTTTGTTTGTATGTTTTTTTTGTTTGTTTTTTTTTTTGGTTTTTTTTTTTGCTTTATTGTTTTTTTTTTTGTTTTGTGAAGTTCTATATATACATTTTGGATATAAGCCTTTTGTCAATCATATATGTTGAAAATATCTTTTCCCACTCTGTGTGTGACTTAAGATGTATAATCTACCTAGAGTTATTTTTATATATAATGTGAAGTTGGACTCAGATTTGTTTTTTTTTTCCATATGGGCACCAAATTGTTCCAGAGTCTTTTATTAGAAAGATAATCCTTTTGCCACTTTTCTACAGACCCACCTTGGCGATAAACCAAGTATACATATATTTGTCCATATATTTGTCTGCTTCTGGATTCTAGAAGATATCCAGTAGATTTCATCTCCCTATTTTATTTTATTTA